CAGAATGTCACATCCTATAAGGTTCATTCATAGTAAAGTCCTCCCATCACCCACTCACCTTCTGCTCTGGATCACCTCCCACAGCCCTCTGATCCTCTGCTGCTGCCAGCTTCCTGCAACAGTATCAGTATTTATGAGAATCACACAACAGGACTACAGAAAACAGACACAAAGTGATTATAAATCACACACATTAGTAGGTTAGGAGTTAGGAAACATGCTGTGACGTCAGACTTGATCAGCTGATATTGTATTGGTTGTATTGTCTCTTATTAATATGAAAAACTACTCAGATTATTAAGTATTTAACAGAACTTTTTCCAACTGTCTCTTAATCAGCTCTTTCATTCTTGGGCTGCAGTTTGTACCTTTCCTGCATGAGCCTGTGGTGGAAATGTCTTCATTCATGTAAAGGAAAATATTAACATGAGGAAGCATAATAATTTCTGAACGTTATCACACTGTGCTTCTGCATTTTTCTCATTTATTTAAAGGGATTTGATCAGATGATATTTTCCAGATTGACATAAATATATAGCAAACACGTTTTATTTCATTATTAATTATTTAAAAAAATAAACCTTTATATATTTAAGGTGAACGTGTGCTTCGTGTTTACTGAGGATGAAGTTTGAAATCCACACCAACTTCACATAATTTGCTTCTTTGCTAAAGTAAAACCACAAAAACATGAAATACTTCAAACACTCTGTTTCTGCACCTTTTGATGATGAAGGTGAAGAGTACGAGCAGGATCACAGCCAGCAGGAGACCAAACACCACACCAAGTACCAGACGAAGGACACCATCAGCTGTTAGAACAAACAACAGATCATGAGTGACATCACTGGGTGCTGCGATGTGGGATTTACAGATTCATGAAAGTGAACAAAGCTCTTCACGTGTTTTACATGTGGTTCTTTCATTATCTGAGTATAAAAACAGTGAGTGCATGAAGGAGTTTTTCCAGATACAAATGTCCCAGTTTTATTCTGCTGCTGATCTGGAGATGATTTGGTGTCAGGCTGAGCATCATTGTCGTGTGTTTGCAGTTTGATGACGTCTTAAAAATTGTTTCAGAAAACTGAACAAACCTCCAGCCTCCACCTGCAGGCTGTACGGCTCAGAGAGAGTCTTCATGTTCTTCTTCAGAGCACAGGTGTAGTTCCCAGAATCCTCTGCAGTCAGAGGGCTGAGAGGGAGGGAGGGGCCAGTGTCTGAGAGGGCGTGGCCATCTTTGAACCACGTAACCTCCAGTTGGTGGAAAGTGCAGACTGAAGCACAGAGCAGTGTGACGGTTTCACCTCTGCTCAACTTTTTGATTATTCTCATTTTAGACGAATCTAAAATCAAAGTGTTCATATTA